TTAAAACTATTTTAGACAAATAGTGTTACATTTTAATTTATTGAATTAACCTATTTTGGTAGAAATATTCTTAGTCAAAGTCATATGAATTATAGTTTCGGATATCGGAAGACTAAAATATTTCGGAATAATATCGGATTTTCGCCCAAATTACGGAATTCAGGAACAAATTTCGGATCGGCTCTCAAAATCCGAAATATTTAGGATTTAAAAATAGGATTTCGCCCACATCATTAGTTCAAGCATTTGAAATATAACAAAATTACTTATATATATATAATAAGTCTTAGAGGTGTTGCTAGTACCTTTCAATTATAACATAATCTGTTTAATGGGTTTCAAAATCACAAAATTTATTTTTTTCCGATGTGTAGTATGATACTGAAAACAAAAAAATAATAGTTTAACATGCTGCGCCCGTAATATGTAACTGAGGAAAATTGGCTTTTGTTTTTTGAGCACCGGTGTTAAACCTGGAAACCAAGCCAACAAACCAATTATCTTAATAAATAATTATCTCAAAGGTCTTTCCTAAATGAAATTACGATAAACAATCAATTTATTACGATTCACTTGTGTAGTAATTTATCACTTTCAAATCCTTATATGAAGGTTGGAGTATAAAATAGTATCTTTATTAGAACTGTAGAGCTATAAGTCTAATCCCAAGACTCATTAAGAAACACTATCTTCGACTCAAGGTCAACTTACATGTCTATTTGTATAAAATTCTGGACTAATACTAAATTATAATAACAAATATTACAAACAATGAAAATAATATAAATTAAAAGAGAAATTAAATAATTAAAGAGATAAAATGTGTTAAGCATTACTTTCATGTCTGATCGCGTAAATTGAGCGCAGTACAATTTTGCGGTATGTAGATAATCAAATTCTAGGTCTATGTCACGCTGTAATTAATTAAAAATCATTTTTATAGAAAATGAGAAAATACTTTAATATACAGTAAAACGAAAGTCTTTTCTTCGTTTTAAAACAACTTTACAAATTGATGATTCAAATTATCAAAAATGATATGCCATTTATGTAAAAATTAACATAATTTCGAATAATGCTACTCGGTATGATTTGAGTCTTCAATTATTTCTATATTTCCATGATCAAAATTACCTTGATCCTTCATGACTGCGTTTCTTTCTGCTTCTAATATCCTAAGTTCCTTTGCCTTGATTTCAAATAATTCTTCTAGTGCTTTATCAAGCTTGCTCTTTAATATTTTGATAATTTCATTTTTATGGTTGTTTTCATTTTGCAGTTTATTTCTTTCTGACTGACAATTCTCACCTTCTGCCTTGATATTAACTAGTTCGTCTAGTGCTTTAGCATGCTTGCTTTTTAATTTTTCGATAATTTCAATTTTATGGTTGTTTTCATTTTGCAGTTTATTTATTTCTGACTGACTATTCTCACGTAGCTGTTCAAATTCTTTTCTATGATGATTTATTTCTATTTGGGAATTCTCATGTAGATTTTCAGAATTCTCACGCAGATGTTTCATTTGCTTTTGAGAATTTTCAATTTTCTTTAGAAGATTATTTAATTCAGTTTGAGAAATTTCAAGTTCATTTTGCAGATTTTTTAAATTTGTTTGACAATCACGCTTTTCGTTTTTTAGTTTATGGTATGTTTCCTTTTGTACAAACATATTCATATATATGTGGCTGATGCAGTTATAATGAAAATATTAATTTTAAATTAAAAAACTTAAAGATAGGTAAAGGGACTAATATCAATCAATTTATCAAAGGTGCCTTTATATATTTTACGAAAATATCCACATATTAATAATATCCAGCTTGAAATCCTATACATTCCGGAATTTATCACCCATCAAATGTCAGATTCCGATTCGTTCTTTCGGAAATTCGTAATAGGTATTATAAAAACTTTCATTCATTATTTTCACATGCTAATCTGCGCATCAATAATTGATCACATTCCTTTCCATTTTTGCCTACATTTTGTCTATAAAACATAGAGGTAAAAAAGGTTAGACAAAGATTTTAAAGAAGGAAAAAAATATATCAATCATTATTAGTGTCTCAATAATCTGCAACTGTACCATCGATGGCAGTTTTTTTTGCATTTATCAAAATATAAAAAAGAGCATATGGGAAAAATAAATTAAAAATGGATGACCGGACCGATGGATAAAGAAAGAATAAAAAGCCAAATTATTGATAAATAAACAATTTGTTTAAATGGGAAGATTGCAGGCTCAGAGTTTTTTTTGACTAAAATTAATCTGAAATAAAATCAAGAAAATTTTGTTAAAAATCTTGATTTTCCTAGAAATCTTCCCAAATAAGAATTCTAAATCATGTAATTTAATAATCATGTGAGAATTTCACGGCCACCAAAAATCGCAGTCACGTGGGACTTAGTTTTTTCACACGGGATCCTTAACCTGTTCTGGGGTATAGGCTCTTATCCTGTTCCGTAACTGTTTGTATCACGTGATATTTACTTTAAAAAATTTATTTATACATGGGGTACAGGTTAAAAGCCTATACCCCAGGTACATTTTAAGGATGCCCTTTTCACACGACGTGAAATACTATTTGTTACATGACTATTTGTCACCAGTATATCTGGCATTATCATATGTTGCTTCATAATGCGGGCCAAAATGTCTCGTGACTTCGACTTTGATGGTTACGCCGGGGAAGTTACTGCCAGACCTATAATTTTGGCCTGAATTAATCAGTCAGAATTAATAAAAATTTTATTAAAATTTTATTTATCAAAGAATTTACTTATTTTTTATTTAGACAAAATTTTTCTTGAAAGTAAATAAAAATAGAATTTTTTTCTACATAATAATTTCAAATGTAATAAACATTATAGAATAATATTTATAGAGAAAGCAATTTATAATTTTAAGAAAAGACATGAAAAAGAGCTTTGCATATGCTTCAATATTTTTCCCTCTCCCATTTATTGACAAAAAGTTATTTAATACATAGTTTTTTTTAAAAGATCTTTTCCTTAAACTTTGTTTTTATTTGTGAGTGTAATAATTAAAAGATGTCTTTAAAGATAATCAAAATAAAAGACAATCCAATTAAAGTAAAATTACTAAAAAAATTAAAAAAATAAAATTACAAATATTTTAGATATTATAAATGATAAAAATGTATTACATTTCTTATTATCAGCCTCAAAATCTGCTATAATTATATAGATTATAAACCATTTTTCTATAATTTTTAAATTTCTCAAAATTATTAAGATCTTATACTTTACTTTAGTATGTTACATATTGAAAAAACTTTTTCTAATTCAAAATAATATTCTTGATATGTATCTATAAGAATCATAAAATAAATAATATGTATCTATAAGAATCATAAAATAAATAATATGTAGTCTATTAAAGTTTTTACTATATATTATAAATTTAAATCATACAGTTTCTTCATTTATTTTCAAATATTGATAAAAATATTTGGATTCATCTTTACTATTTTACAGTAATTGACAAAAGAAATGTAATAACTGGTTTTTAAACTTTAAAAACTTATAACTCATAAAATATGAATATTAGAGCTATAATTTTATATTTATTATAATTCTCAAAATATATAAATTATTATATAAAAAAATTTATTACATTAACAATATCAATTTTTTTAAATTTGCCAATTTAGATCAAATTTTATTAAATTTAACATCAAAAGAAATGCAACAATATGATAAAGTCATTGTATATCATATTATTTATAATTAAATTAATAAACTATATATAGTGATACAAAAATTATGTTTATAAATACTTTATTTATACTATTTATACTATAAAATATTGCTATTTGTATAATATTTGCATCATCTCATTTTCTTTTTTTTTAAATTTTTTTTTTTTAGCTTTTTTCTATTCAAAATATTTAAAATATTAATATTAAAAATATAAACATTGAAATTTCAAAAATGAAGCTTCTTATATTTTTTTCTTTTACAATATAATTTATTTAAGTGAAGAATAAAGAGTACAAATTTGTACTTTATTAGATGAAAAAGTATATTCACAAGTTGAACTTGCTGAAAGATATCATATTTTTAGAAGTACTATTTTTTGACTTTATAAAAATATGAAAAAACAAAAAGTATTAAGGACTTACCAAAATCTGACCAACCTCATATTTTAACTAACTGTAAAGAATATCAAACAGTTCATTATATTATTAGTGAAAAATGTACGAATGCTATTTAAGTTCAAAAAACTTTAAATAAAATATAACTTATAAGATTCAGATGCTACAATATAATGAATATTTAAGAAAAATGAATTCAAGTCAGCTATTAAGCTATAAAACTATTATTGTTAGACTAGTATAAAAAGCACATTATAAATTTGTAAAAGATCATAAACATTAGAATTATAATAATTAGTATAAAATAATATAGTCAGATGAAAACAAATTTAATCTTTTTAGTTTAGATAATAAAGTGTATTATTAAAAGCAAACTAATAAACTTTTAAAAGATTATCATATAAAGAAAACTTAAAATTTGAAGGTGACAGAATATTTATTTAGAAATATTCACAGCTTGCAAAATTGAATATTTATGCAAAATTAATGGTAGAATAAATGCCATTCTATACTATAAAATTTTATAAGATAACCTATTAGAAACTCTAGTTATTATGAGTATAAAATTATTTTTAATATGACAATGATCTCAAATATAAGGCTCATTTAACAAGAACTTGGTTAGAAAACAATAATATTACAGTTTTAGATTGGTTAGTGTAATCATCAGATTTAAATTCAATTGAACATATATGAAATGAGTTAGATTAAAAGTTATAACATTTAAATAAACTAATAAAAAATAAGAAGCAATTATAAGAAAGGATTCAATTAGCTTGGAATAATATTGAAGTTGAGGCTTATATAAAGCTAATTTGAATAATACCTCAAGAATTGCAGATATAATTAGCCAAAAAAGAGGTTATATTTAATAGTAAAAAAATATATTTATAAATATATATGTATATTTTTTATCATATTTTATAAATATTTTAAATTTTTTAATAAAATTTTAACAAATTTAATGAATTGAATGATAAATTATATAAATTAAAAAAAAAATGAAAATTTTAAATTTTTTAAAATTTTAAAGTTTTATTTATTTGAAATAAATAATAGTAAAATTAATATAAATTTATATTAATCAATAGCTTTAGTTTATAGCTTTTGAATAAGATATAGCATATGCTTCTATGATACTTTCATGTGATTTTAGATGATCAGCAAAATTTTGTATTATGTTATTACATTTCTTTTGATGACCATTATATTAAAGACTTATAGATAAATAGGTGTAATATTAGAATACTATCTAGTTTAATTTATTTTAAATATAACTTAAATATTTTTACTATTCAAATTATTTTATATAATTATTCTAATATACAAAAAATATATGTAATGTTTTTCATAAATAATTATCAATAGATAAAACATAAAAAAGTAGAATTCAGTTAATTAAATGAGTAATATTCACCATATAAATTAACTATATAAATTATAATTTACATTTATTAACATATGAAATATATGAATTTACTCATTTATATTAATTTATTTATTATTATATAATACTAGTAAACACTCGTTGCTATATCAAAAGTTGATTAAACTTCTAATATCAGTGTTCCATATTAATAATCAATGATTTTAAACATAATTGTCTTACTATAAAAATATAATTTCTTGTAAATCACATGACATTATACAAATATCTGAAAAAGGGAAACTTGTATAACTGATTTTGAGACTTAAACTTGAATTTTACTGGGAGACAAAATTGCCTTTAGTTTTGTATAATGTATTATAATTCTATGATTAATTTTTATAAGGTAATCTAAACATAATATCCTATGACCGTCAATGTTTTTAAAATATATAGATTAAATAAATAAATATAATTTATATAATAATATAAAAATAAAAATTTAAAAAATAAAAAATATATTAATATCAAATATCAAAATTTATATAATAAATTATAAATTTAATTATATATAATTATGTATTTTTTTTTATAAATATTTTAAATAAAGAATTAAATAAAATGTTTTAAATTTTAAAAAAAAAAATGAAAATATGTTTTTACTTTTCATCTTCAAACCATTCATTTTAAAAAATTTAAGATTTATTACTTTTAATTCTCAATAAAATATGTAAATTAAATTTATATAAACAAAGAATATATTATAATTATCAAAATTTAAATTTTACAAATATATAATATTTTCTGAGTTTGATAGCTTTAACAAGAATTATACCTATTTAATATATTTCTACTACTCATTATTAAGAGGATTAATTTTATAAATTAATTTTTATTTTATTTAAGAATCATCATTCATATTTTTATTATTATTTATTAAAATTGTCATTCTTTATTTTATCTCTTTATTTATTTTTCATTAATTTTTTAACATTATTATTCTATATCAATTATTCAATTATTTTTATATTTCATTATAGTTTTCATTTATTTTAATACATTTTCTTATTTTTATAACATTATTATTTTATATAAAATTTTATCTTTTATTTTATTAGTCTTCATATCATTTCTATTATTTCTTTTTTATTATTTCTACTTATTATTTTCTTTTATATTTTTATT